GCACCCCCAGTGATGGCTACAAGTCCCGGTCCTGAATGCTACTTCCCAAGAAACGGACTTTATTCCCCTCACCCCCCCGACAACAGCCACAAGGAAAGCGAGGAGAAACTCCTGGAGCTTGGAATTCCCACTCCAAACCTTCTCCCTCTTCCACTTTGGGGTTTATTTCCCCCCTTTAAATCGCCTTTTTGGGGGCCTCTCGGAGTCCCCCCAGCAGGAACCCCCCGGGACACGGCCGCACTTCGCACCTACCAGAACCGCTAATTCCAGCCAACTCTTCCCAAATCCTTGCCATTCGCTCCCAAGCTCCGGCCCCCTCATCCCGCTCCGGCGGCTCCCAAACCTGCGGAGAAGCGAGGATTTCCCTGGGATTGCTCCTTTCTGTTCTTTTTTTGGCTCCATTTCGGGTGTTTTCCCCCCCCCCTCTTTCTTTTCCCTTTCTTTTCCTCTCTGGTTTAGCTGGGAATTCCCTCCGGGAACAGCGGCGATGCCCGGGGGAGGGGGGAACCAACCTCGCTCCCCGCTTGCCTCTGGGAAAAAAAACCACCATTAAAACGAGAAGAATAACGGAAAACCCCATTAAAACAGTGAAAACGCGAGCGGACACCCCCCCCCTTTCCCACCCTTACAGCATCTCCATCACTCCCCTTCCCGACCCCCAAATCCCTTCCAGTCCCCCCCAGTACAGGCCCATTGGGGGAAAGGGGTGCCAATTCATCGGGTTGAGCCCCCACATCCAAGCAGCGCGTTTCCTGCTCCCGGGTGCCCCCCCCTTAATGGGAAATGCCCCCTAAATAGGAATAAAGTCAAGTTTTTGCGCCCGGTTGCCGCCTCCTCTCTTTTATTCCCGGCTCCTGCAGGTAGGAAGCGGTTTATGGAATGGGATTTAGGGGGGGGGTGTGGGTTTTTTTTCCTTCCCCTTGCCTTGTTTACAGCTCCAGAAGGCAAAAGAGCCATAAATCTTAGGGCAGCCCCCCCCCGAGACAAGCCCATTTGTATGCATCGTTAGAAGCAAGCTAATACCTCAGCCCATTAGCGAGGCAGGAGGAGAGCCGGCGTTTCCGGTGCGCATTAACTCCCAGTTAAATTCGGCAGGAAAAGGGCATTGCGAATTAACATCATCATTCCCCCCCCCATATCCATCAGATTGTTTGGCATCTTGGATTAGCCGGGAAAGAGGGAATGTTGCGGGGGGGGGGGGGGGGGAAGCATCCCTGGAGCATCCCGCCCCGGGATGAAGCTGTGTTTTGATTTTCCCTGTGGTTTCCAAGCCCTTGGGTTCGTGGGAAGGGAAGGAAGGGGGGGGGGTTCAAAGGGATGAAACCCCCACGTGTGGGGTTGGGATGCTGCCGGCTGCAGGTAGAGGCAGGAGCAGGCAGCGCTGCCCATCTGTATGCACCGCACGCTGCCTGCTATTCCTTAATAGGCTTTTTATATATATAAATATATATATATATGCATTTCTTCCCCCCCCCTTCCCATTTTCTCTCTCCCATTAGCGGATCGATGCCCCTCCACCACAGAGCCCTCCCCTCCCAGATCCATTACGCCAGCTATTTCCTTTCGCTAATCAATGCTCGCTTCTCCTCCATCGCCCCTTTCCACCCCTTCCCTTCCTCCGCAGCCTCCTCATCTCCCCTCTCCTTGACACCCCCAAACTGCAGCACCCCAACAAGCCTCAACCCATCGCCGGGGGGGGGGGGGGGGGGGGGGAAGCCTTCATTTCACCTTAAGAAGGCACCAGCATCCTGCTGCCTCCTCATCCTCAAACCGCGTAATCAATAACGTGGATTTGGGTGGGTTTATTGTAATGGATTCATTTTGGAATGGGGAGGGGGGGGGACGGGGACGGGGACGTTTCCCCCCCCCCTTTCCTCCTCCTCCTTGTCCTTTCCTCCTTCGCCCGTGAAAGCGTTAAAGGTAGGAGCCCGGCAGGCGCAGGCAGCAGCAGGGCTTTTGTGGGGCTGATTTATGGCTTCAATCTTGGTTCACCCAGAGTTCACGGGGATTTGCTGTTCCTGAGGGCTAAAAGATGGGCTCCCTTGACAAGTGTGACTGCTGCAAAGGCCGCTCCCGCTCCCAGCCGCTGCCTTTCCCGGGAGTCAAAGGGATTCGAATGGAGAATGAGGCTCCTGGGGGGGACACGACGACGATGGCGCTGGAAAAGGGGCTCTTGGAAGGGATGCAGCACCCTAAAACCCAACCTTTACCTTCAATGGGGATGCTGGGTGCTGGGGGAGATGCGACAGGGTCGCTCCCAGGTGAAATTCCCAAGGGGAATACAACTATTCCACACCCCCCCCCCAAATTCCTTCCCAGCCCCCGCGGGTTTGGAACAAGTGGAATAGTTTATGGAAGGCATCGAGGTCTTCAACTCCCGCCGCAGCATCCCCCATAAATTACCCGACGTGATTCGCTTCCCAATGCGGCTCCCCGCCCCATTCCTCCCCTCCTCAGCCCTTCCTCCAGCCATCCTCCTCCTCCTCCTCCCGCACCCCAAACCTTGAGGGGTTGAGGGCTCTTTTGCCTTACGGAGTAACCCTTGTTAATGGGATGCAAATCCCGTCGGCAGCTCGTCACCTTCTGGGGCCAGTGCACGCGTGCGCGTGTACACGCGTGTGTATATACATGTATGCATGTGCACATCCCCATTGATGCCTCAAGGCAACGAACCCGGTGCAGGATGCGGCCCCGTTCATGGTGCAACAGCTGGGTTTGTGCGTGCGGTGTCGCAACCTCCTTGTGTATATGCCTGTCCGTCCATCCATCCATCCATCCATCCATCCATCCATCCATCCATCCATGTATATGGTCATATGGAGAGCCCTGGGCTCGCAGGCAGCCAAAGGGATCCGGGGGGTATTGTGTGGGTGCTCAAAGGCCCCCCCAAATGTGCGCTGTGGCCTTGCGTGCCCTGTTTTATGCTGCTCGGATGCAATAGCATCCTCGTGTATAGGGGTTATATATGTTATAGGGGTTGTTATGTATGTTATATGTGTTACACATGTTGTCGTATGTGTTACACATGTTGTTATACGTGGTATATGTATTACACACGTTGTTATATGTGTTATATATGTGTTGGCTGTGGGGATGTGGGTCAGGTCACTGCAGGGACAGAGCTATGGGGGGGGTCATAGAGTGATGCCTTGGGATGGAGCTACAGCATGAGTGTGTGTCCATGCGTTCTTGTTTCCATGTCTGTAATTCCATACATCCCTGTTTCCATGTCTGCCATTCCATACATCCCCGTTTCCGTATGTCTGCAATCCTATACGTCCCTGTTACCACGCATGGATGTGTTTTCCTTATGCAGCCGGATGCAGTGGGATGTGTCGTGTCCCCCTCCATGCTACCCAGGGCCAGAGGGATGTCCCCCCACCAAGGGGACCAGCAGGGGGGTGTCCAGCTTCAATCCAAAGGGGAATGATCCCCCCTGAGAGCACTGGGAAGGGAAAACCTCGGGATGGAGCTGGGGGGTGTCTCTGCCCCCCACCCGATCCCTGTGTGTCCCATGGGTGGCAGGGGGTCACCCTTCCCCTCCCAACCTCCCCCAAGGGACCGATCGAAGGCTTCTTCATCCCCAAACCTAACAGGCAGGAGCACATCCCAAAGGATCCACCCCCCCCGGATAGTGTCCCCTCCAACCCCTTCCACCGCTCAGCATTCCCAAAGCTCTTCCCACTTGGCATTTTGGGAGCCTTTGGGATTTGGCAAATCCCAAAGCCTCTGTTCCCAGGGATGCCGGTACCCGGGAAGCATCCATAGCCGAGCGGCATCGCGATGCTGCTGATGCTGGATCCTTGGCAAGCCCCACCAGCACCCACCTTTCCCAACCCCTGGAGTTATTGGGAATCCACCCAGGTCCTGTTTTTCAACCTCCATTAAATTCCTTAAAATGATGGGTTTTAATGGCAACGAGCTCCCGGATACTCCATAGCTCCCATGTTTTGACCTGGGCATTCTATCCTGCTGTCAGTCCCGTTCCCTATGCATTCATGAGGAGTGGGATGGCAAACGGGATGTGGGAATGTGGCAAGAAACACAGGAGAAAGGAAGGAAAAGGAGATGGGAGGGAGCAAAGCAGCCCTCATTGGGGCTTGGGACCCCTCCAGCATCCCAGCTCTGCTCATTCCCTGGGATTTAAACACATATCCTGCACCTGGGGAGAGGCTTCTGCATCTGGGAAGGCCATGGGAGCTGGGAAAAGAGCTCCCAACCTATTCTTGCCATTAAAACCCTATGGCTAAGTGCGACCACGAGCATCCCGCACGGATCCCTTCACTCCGGTGCCTCTGGCGCCCTGGGGATTACATTAAGGGGGCACACGGCACAGCAACGCTGCTCCCCATCCCATTTGGGGTGGGTTTGGGGTCACTGTGTCCATCCCCCCTCCCCTAGGGATGGAACATGGGCAGGGAAGGGAAACGAGCACCGGTGCAGAGCATCCATAGGGAAAGAAACCCGCGGGATTGAGCTGCTTTGCCAAATGAACCCCTCTTCCCTCGGCTCCCAGGGGGTTGTTATTGGGGGGGGGGGTCCCCTCAAAATTGCTTTGCCCCAGCTCTTCCCGTGCTTCTCCTCTTCCTCCCCGCGCCTCATTGTTTCCTAAGCAAACAGAGCTGGGAACACCCAGCAGCTCCCAGGCGGATTGGACCCGGCAGCGCTGCCATTGACACGTCCTCGGCGCCCTTATTTATTTGTATGGAAATAAGGAAGCAAAAAAATCACACACCCCCCCCCACCCCAAAAAAAAAAGGTGGAAAACCCAAACCAAGACGAAAGAAAAAGCAGGGAAAGGAGCGGATCCCTCGGCTCTGCAGGATACCGGGAAGAGAGTGGATTTTCCATTTTTTCCAGGCTTTCGGGGTGAAACAGTGCTCTCTTGTTCTTGGAATCCCTTTGGCATCTCGTGGCTCCGGGGAAGGAGGGGCCTCACCCTCCGCTCACCCCCATCCATCACCCCGACAGCCCTCGCTTGCCGAGGCCTCTCACCCTTTTCATCTCCCGGTTTCTGTGCAGCCGCCGTCGCCGGGGCATCCCCTCCCCGTATCCCGCTCCCCAGCATCTCGGAGGGGGCTGGAGCATGGGGATCCCCGATTCCCATTGATTCCTTCGCTCCCAAACGAGTCCATCTTCCCGTTGCGATTAGCATTTAACGTAGGCTGAGCTATCCCTTCGGGGGACGGTTTTCCAGGGCGGAATCGTTCCAACCTGGACCAGGAAGGTGGTTTAGAGGAACCCGCTGCAAATAAACCCAACCACTTTATGGGGTGGGAAAACCATCAATCCCCTCCCGTTGTATTCTGCTCCCCTTCAGGAGACGAGCATCCCGCCTGTGTCTCCGTGGATCCGGAATGGGATACGGATCCGGACTGGGATACGGATCCGAAATGGGATCCGGATGCCCCAGTGTTGTGTTTTCCCATATCCACACGTTTGCACCCTCGTAAGCGTGCCCAGGCACTGCACTAAGTGTAGTTTTACACGGGGTAGGAGGATTTGCCCCCTCTTGTGCTCCTAAATCACCCCATTTGGTGGGATAAAAGCCACCCAAGGAGGGGAACATCCCAATTTGGCATGAAATCCCGGCATCCCACTGCTGGAAAATGGCTGCAAATCACAGCTGCATCCCGGGAATTCAATCCCAACCCGGCACTGACTCCATTGCACCTCAGAGGGTGGAAAGGTCAAAGAAACCCTTGCTTCCCATTGGAAAGGTTTTGCAGGCACCACGATGCCCCCCCCATTTGTGCCCATCATCCCTTTCCCAGGCTGGATGTGCACCAGACTGTAAATCCATGGGGAGGAAGGGGAATTGCTCCTTGCACAGGGGGCACTTGTCTTAGAGTGCAAGGCAAAGGGGATGCGATTGGGTTGGATGCGGGTTGGAGCAAGCTGCTCTAAGTGGAAGCTGTCCCTGCCTATGGCACGGGGTCGGAGCTGGAGGAGCTTTCCCAACCCATTCCATGACGCTCTGAAGACGACGGCAACGTGCAAGGCAAAGGGTTTATCCTGGCTGGGGGTGATGCAGGTCTTTTGGGGTCAAAGCATCAACAAACCCCATCGTTCCCATCCTACCTTCCCCCACCGACCGTTCCCCCCCATATCCCTGGCGCTTTCTCCCAGCAAACAACGGGCACCAGAGGAAGAAACACCTGACTGCGATTGGTTCAGCTGCATTCACTCGGAATCCGAATGGAATCCCAGGGGTGCATTAGCATGCAAGGCATCGGGAGCGGGCGCTCGGTGCCGCTGCATTGACCTTTCCTTGCACCCGGTGCCGGGGAGGAGCGCGGCGCGGCGGCTGCGCCGGGGCTCGCCGTGCAGATCCTAATGGGGCGATTACTGTCACCAAGCCATTTGTCACGGGCCCACGTCGGCCCTCCCGATGCTCCTTATGGCCGCCTTCGTCATTCCGGATTGAAGGAAGATGGGGCGACGCCATCAGCGGATGGAGCCGGCTGGAACCAGGCTGCGGCTGCTGGGCGATGGAGGGATGGAGGCTTCCACCTCATCACCCCCAAGTGAACAGAAGACCTTCCCCCCCCCCCCAAAACCTCCATCAAAGCCCCCAAACCCCCACCTATTAAATCCAATCCGATCGCCTTTGAGATGCTCTTTGGGATAAAGCAAGATGGATGGAGCATCCTTCCCTAAGCCCGCACCCTCCGTCCCTGTATTCATCCTCCGATTGCATTCAATAACACCGAGGGTTGCGCTGCTTTCATTGAGCATCGTGGGCCAACAGGCTCCCTGAAGCCTCCCACCCTCCAAGCAGAGCACTGATTGGCAACAGGCAGGAGCAATACCCCCCCTACCTCCCCCTTTTGCTTCCTTATTGATCACTGCGAGTAATAAATAGACTTTTGGGGGGCTGGAGGCAGCGGCGTGGGTGCTCTTGGACCTAATGCTGTGGCCTTCATCCCGTGTGGGACAACCCTTGTGAAGAAGCAGGGAGGAAGAGGAAGGTGGGGGTCACCCCGTCTTGATGCGACCATCAGCATCCCAAGGAGGTGAAGGTGGGGGTCACCCCCTCCTCATGCAACCATCAGCATCCCGAGGAGGGGAACGCGTGCCTCTAACGAGATGAGGGCTTGGAATTCCACGTGATTGGAATGGGTAAATCCTTAGTGAAGCTGAAGCTGATGCTTTGGGATGCAGATGGAGGCAGATCCGTGTTTCCCAAGGAATCTTTGTTTCTGGCCTTGCTGGAGAAGCTGAATTCCCTTCGTATGGCTGTGACGGCTGGGATATAAACCCCTCATCATCCCTAGTCCAGGCTCCCTCTGGAGTCAGTGGAGAGAATTGGCATAAATCAGGTGACAGGAAAACCCCCCAAAATGACCCAATCCCTTCCCATTCGGGGACCTGGCTTAAGCTTTGGATAAATTAAAAGGGGGAAATTAAAGCTTAAGTATGAGGATCACCTGCATCCCCATCACTGGGAGCGGGTACCACGGCTCAGCTGATGGATAACGGCTCCATCCTCATCTCTCCAGCCTTTACTAGGAAAAAGTTGATTTAAAACCTGCAGCTCAAAGCTTAAACCCCTTCCCTAGCATCCACCCTCATTGGGGTTAATGGCTTTTGCTCATCCCTGTATCCCTGTTTGAGGATCATTGAGTTTCACGCTGAACTGCACGCAGAACGCGCTGGGATTTAGGAGAGATCAACCATTTTCCACCCTTTTCCTTGCCCTGGAAAACCGGGAGCTTCAGTTACATCACCGTAGGAAGCGTCTCACCCCCGCTGGTTTCCCCCTCACGCTCATCTCTTTAAAGCCTCGCATGTCAGCACCGGGATAGTCGGGATGCTCCTGCAGCATTCCCGGCTGCTCCCTTCAAAGGACTGCCTTTCCCTCGGAAATCCCTAGCAAGAAAGGAAAGGAAAGAGGCATTTTCACCCCAATTTGATGGGTGAGCTGGGGGATTTCAAAGCTTTTAGGAGACAGCTTGCTTCGAGCTCCCATCTTTGGGCTTAAAAGCCTGGATTTTGGCACCCAGCCCTTGGCTTTAATGGTGTTCAGAGGCTTGGCTTGACCTTCCTTTCGCAAGGCAATGCTTCGCGGCCCCGGCTGAGCTCCTCGGAGCCGCCTGTGCGGGGCCGTTGGCTTCCTGGGAAGATTCATGGGACTCATAAAAACATCAGTTTTCTTTCCTAAACAAAGCTGGGGTCGGCTGCTGGCGGGGGAGAGCTTGGAGCAAGGGAGGGAGGGATGAGGGAGGATGCAGAAGGGATGCAGGGAGGATGCAGAAGGGATGCAGGGAGGGATGCAGGGAGGATGCAGAAGGGATGCAGGAAGGGATGCAGGGAGGGTGCAGAAGGGATGCAGAAGGGATGCAGGAAGGGATGCAGGGAGGATGCGGAAGGGATGCAGGGAGGGATGCAGGGAGGGTGCAGGGAGGGTGCAGAAGGGATTCAGGGAGGATGCAGGGAGGATGCAGAAGGGATGCAGGGAGGGATTCAGGGAGGATGCAGGGAGGATGAAGAAGGGATGCAGGGAGGATGCAGGGAGGATGCAGAAGGGATGCAGGGAGGATGCAGAAGGGATGCAGGGAGGATGCAGGAAGGATGCAGGGAGGATGCAGAAGGGATGCAGGGAGGATGCAGAAGGGATGCAGGGAGGGATTCAGGGAGGATGCAGGGAGGATGAAGAAGGGATGCAGGGAGGATGCAGGGAGGATGCAGAAGGGATGCAGGGAGGATGCAGGAAGCATGCAGGGAGGATGCAGAAGGGATGCAGGGAGGATGCAGAAGGGATGCAGGGAGGATGCAGGGGGGGATGCAGGGGGGACGCAGGGAGGGTGCAGAAGGGATGTAGGGAGGATGCAGGGGAGATGCTTTCTCTGCATTCTTCCCCAGCTGGTGAGCTCCTCTGTTGCTGTGAATAAGGCAGTGGTGCCAGCAAAGCCTCTGGGTCGAGGGCAGGGGCTCAGCCTGTCCCTCAGCAGCTCCTCACCCACATGGGGAGAGACGGAGATGGTGTAAAACAGACTCAGGGGATGCTCCTGCCCACCCACAAGGGATGCATCTGCATTGGATGTGCTCCATATTGCAACCCAAAGCAGCGTTGGCCTTCTGGAGGCTGCTGCTCGTTCCAGTTCCCCTCCCAACGAGATGGATTCCCCCTTTCCTCACCCTGCGAGCCAACTCGAGGCCTTTCCATGGGCAATCAGCCTAAGGGTTGGCTGCTCCAGTGGCCCTTGGTTTCTTACTCCGCTGTGAGGTGTTGTCCATCCATCCTCTTCCCAACCTCAACTGGGAAAGAGGGGGGGAAACTGCACGGAGAGATTTGCTGCATCCCTTAAGGCACGGATCACAGGAATGGCCCACGCTGAGGGAGATGCTCTCCAGGAGGAGCGGAGCTGAGCAGCCCATCCCTGCTAATGAGCATGCGGTCAAAGAGAGCTGGATCCCGACCCGAGCACCAGGGGACAGGCAGTAAATCACCTTCCATTGCTGGAGGAGCGCTTCCCTTCGCACCGAAGTGCTCTTTGCATGCCTTTTACGTGCTCTTTCAACGCACTTGGAATGGATGGACTTGAAACTCAAAGCCTTCGTGAACTCACATTCGCCCACCGCAGTGGTTCCTTGCAGCGGGACGCAGCCCGATGCCCTTTGAAGCGCCTTCAGGTTGGCTTCACCTCGTGATCCATCACCAAGAAGCGGTGGTGGGATTTGTCAGCCCTGAGAATGGGGAGATGTTTGGAGAGGTTGCGTGGCGTGGGGGGTTGATGGTCCCCATCACTCGGTAGGGTGAGCAAAGGATGCAACAGCCTTAAAGGATGGGTGTCCAGGTCTCCTTGCAGGCACCAACCATCCCATAGGACCCTTCCAGAGGTCAGATCCCGACTCTATCGGGCTTCCTCACCAGCCCCATCACGTCATTACTTCCATCCGTAGCCAAGAGACTATAGGGTCACCCAACGCTGGAGGGAGAGGACATTCCCAGCCTGCATCCACTGAGATGTGGCCATTGAGGGGCAATTTGGACCGCTCCAGGCCCGGGAGACCACGAGCAGGATGGAGCCTCCAATCCTCCAAGGGAACCCTATCTATGGTTGGGATCGTGCTGGAATTTGGCTGCCAATGACCCCGTCAAGGAGGGGAAACGCCTCCACCGAGGCTTTGAGGAGGTTTCTCGTCTTCTCCTTATGAATCACAGAGAAGAAAGCAGCTCCTTTCCCCTCCCATCAATCTCCTGGTGGCCT